AATGAAACTCAAAGCCCGGACTCCAAGCAGCCCTTCCATTTGCGAAGCTATGAATGCTACTGTGCAGAATATTCAGGCACAGATTCTCTCTCAAGCCAATAAATGTGAGCTCATCGTCGATGCCGAGGGCATTGAACAATAAATGTTCCCTCTCTTTATTTTTATATGGGTTTTACACTAATGACATGGAACTGTCAAGGCTGTAGCGGACCTAGGTTCCCTAGAATTTCAAAAGAATATACCCAGGAATACAAACCTCACATGGTGCTGCTCTTGGAAACCCGTATAAGTGGTCGGAGGGCCGATCAAGTGGTTTCCAAGCTTGGTTTCAACAAATCCTTTACGGTGAAAGCTACATGCTTTGCTGGTAGGATATGTATCTTTTGGCATGACACTCTCAAAGTCGAAGTGATGGCAGCGCATCCGTAATTTGCCACAGTTAAGGTCTTTCGCTCTAACTCTTCTACTCATTTATGTAACCATTGTTTAAGGCAGTCCTGAGCGATAGAAACAATTAGCCCTTTGGAGGGACATTGATAATTTGCATCACACTAGAAATGCTCTGTAGGTTATAGTTGGAGACTTCAACGACATTCTATTTAGCGATGAGAAGAGAAGAGGCGCTTGAAGTGGGAAGGGTTGCAAAACTTTCCAGGAATTCATGAATTTCTAAAACCTTATGGATATGGGCTTTAAGGGTCCCCGGTGCACTTGGACTCATGGAGGCATCTTCGAACGTCTGATCCTATGGTGGCTAATGACAATTAGAATAAAATGGCTCCGTATTCCGTATTCAAACACCTTCAGCTCATTAAGTCCGACCATCGCCAACTCTTTTTTCATGTTGCAGGATCACCTTCCTTACACTATTTGAGTTGTGGATTTTATTGCGGATACGGTTGCAGTGTTACGGTTGGGGATGTTGAAGACGTTACGTAACGTGTTGCAGCTATCGCGGGCGTGATTAGGAATGACAACGGGGCAGGTTCGGGGCGGGTTTTGCTCGCCCCAAACCCGAAATGAATTCCCATCCCCGACCCGATCCCGATCCCGATCCCCGTCGGGTTTTTTATTGGGGCGCCCCGTCGAGGATTTTTTTTCCCCGTCCCCGACCCGAAATATTATATTCAAACCCGAACCTGAACCCGAAAATATTATATATATAATTAATATAAAAATATAAAATATTATATATATAATTAATATAAAAAAATAAAATATTATATATATATAATCAGGGCGGGCCGGGATACCTTGCCCCGTCCCCGAACCTAACCCGAAAAAATCACCGATACCCGACCCAACCCGATATCATTCAAATTTGGCCCGACCCGAACTTGACCGGGTTTCGGGTTTCCCCGTCGGGTTCAAGTCATTATGCCATCCTTAGGCGTGATCTCTTCCTCAAAAACCACAATACATCTAAAATATTATATTTATACATTTTACATTTATCTTTTAATATACTAATATTAATATACTCTTTTAACATTTTATTTTAAAAATAAAAATTTAATTTCATAGATAAAAATTTATTAAAAACAATATAAATCATAGAAGTGATATCATAATGGATAATAGGTAATAACAATTATCGTTAATGAATAACATATAAACAATATCACTAGAATCATATCAAATTTTTTATATTATAACATCAAAATGTTCATTTTACATAACTTAAGAAAGAAAAAAAAATACATAACTACAAATATAAAAAATTTATATCTTACAATTCACCATCATAAGATTCATCATTGGTAGGAAATATGTTGTATGATAAACTTTTATAGTAAATAGATTAGATAAAATTTTATAGTTTCATAGTAAATAGATAAAAATACATATAATAATATAGTATTATAAAGTGAATTCCTCTCTTCTACAAAATTTATATAACAATAAATAAACATATAATTATGATACTTAATGTTAATATAAAAAATTAATTTAAAATTAATCACGTCAATTTTAGATATGAGAAAAATTCAATTTAAATTTAAATTAATTTAATTTTAAAATAACGTTAATAAATAATTTATTTAATTCAAATTTAAGTAGTTAATTTTAAACATAACTATTACGATATTATTAATTATATATATTTGTAATCCATTTTTAAGAATTAAATTAGAACAATTCATCTATGTAATTTTATATTTCAGATAATTTAAAGTTTGTTACTGTGTTGCGGCTCAATTTATAGCGTGTTGCGGTGTTATGTAACGGTTTTTGACAGCAACAATCGTGATGCGATTCTCTTATCGTGTTGCACCGATATTGTGTCACTGTAATATTCAAAAACATTATGATGCGGGCGTTACGCTGCGTTGCGGCCACAATTTAGTACTATGTTTGAGACATTTTCATTTCTTAATCGATTGGTCAAAGCACACTCACTTTAAAGAGTTCATCCGATAGAATTGGCGCTCGTAAGGTACTATAACAAACTCCTTAAATTTTATTACTAGTTCTCTCAATGGTTGGAACAAGGAGGCATGCGGCCATATTTTCCAGAAACAGAAAACCCTCAAAAGCCAGCTAGCTTCTATCCAAGCCGAGTTGGACAGATATGGGAATGACCATTTACTTGAGAATGAGCTCGAGATCTGTACCAAGCTTGAGGAAGTCCTTGACAATGAAGAAATCATGTGGCACCAAAAATCTAGAAGCCACTGGACCCTTGAATGAGATCAGAACACGAAGTTTTTTCATAACACGAGTAAAAAGTAAAAAAAAATAATAATTAAAATATCAAATATACCAGAATAAAGAATGCACCATTTAAAAATGAGAGTAAAATATCTAAACTAGTACAAATAAAATGAGTTCTCAACAATTATTTATATTGCATTACGAATAATTATCATCCAATAAAATTTATATTATTTTAATCACAAATTTATTAATTCATAAATATCTTTTTTAATATTATAACAGACTAATTTTCTTTAGATATCAAAATTTATATCTAACACTAAAATATCTTCGTTCTACCATATTCCTATATTATTATGTGTTCAATAATGACACTAATATCAACAGTGATGAAAACAAAATGCTTAAGTGAAATAATCAATTTAAGAGAGACTGAAATAAATAAAAAAATAAAGGATTAACATATATTATAGTATTTTAAATTTAAAATATTTGTATTTTTTAAAATCAAATAAAACTTGAAAAAAAACAATTTATCTCATTAACCACTTCACCAACTACTGTGAATTGCCAAGTCAGTAGACTATATCATCAACATCATGAAGTGTCACATTATCATCATAATTGTCAACGACGAAAATCGTAAGTTAAATGACTACATTGTATTCTTTTTCTAAGTTTGAGTGTCTCATTGAATGTAAAAAAAAAACCTACATTGATTTTTTTGAAATAGTACCGAGGCACGAGGTACCTTTTTGCCATCTATTAATTATTACAATTTGCATTCCAATGATCCGATAAGATTTTAATTTCTTAACTGTGATATATTTTTTACTGAAACATTCGATTAGAGCATCCCTATGCATAATATTGGATTATTGAATAATCTAGTTGGCTAGAGGTAGCAGTCTATAGAACCTTGGTGTTAAGTCTCTGATTGCCGATTGTTGGACTTGGTCCTAAATCTTCATATATGGAAGTGGTGCCTTGGTTGCCTTCTGTTTAGCAAATGCTCTTGTTGGTGTTATTCATTCAATTTATTATTCCCTAAACTGCTTAAAGTTGTGGGTCTTGTTTACATGTTCTGCCTTGTTGAACATCAGTTACTAATTTACTGGATATTTGAATCTGCCGACTACTGAGTAAACCAGAATTCTTAGCATAGTAGCAATGGAGAAAACCAAAATTCTTAGCAAGTTAGCATAGCACCGATGCTCTCCATTTATTTGTTGATTGTGTCTATGGATGGGGTCCAACTTTGTTTGAACAATGCATAGGTTCTTATAGTTCTTGTTAGGGAATAGGGATGTAAATGAAGAATAGTATTTCACCAATTGTTGATAAATTGTTTGTATAATGATTATTTATTATTAATTAAATAAATAAATATAAATATTTTTTTATATTCATTTAACAAACAAACGAATATAATTAGATATAAACGAATAAACACGAATAAATATATGTTCTATTCGTTTATATTTATGAATAAACTTATTTACTCTATGATTTTGTCATTTTTTATCTTTTTAAGCTCTACCGAGGATAAGAATGGTGATGATGAAGAAAATAGTTGGTTTGTGGAGTGTTTTTAAGGAGTTCTGAAAAAGAAGAAAAATAGATTGAGCGTTCGATCAAGTCGAGTCAAAAAATTTCGAGTTATTCGAGTTGACGAGTCATATTTTACAACTCGGAATTGACTTGAAATTTTTTCAAGTCGAGTCGAATTTTCGAGTTTGTGTTTAAATTTATTTATCAATATTTATAATATTATGATATTATTTTATTTCAATTTAAATAAATTTTTATGATAATATACAATACATATATATAACAATTCATTCCTTTGTGATTTTTGATAAAAAAAAATATAATACATACTTATTTCATTCATACATGATATACATATATCGTACAGAAATAAAGGACTTGACTCAAACTTAAAATTTCATCAACTAATTACTAAAAATTTTAAGTTATTCAAATTTTATTTTACTATTTAATTTGAACTAGAACTTTTTCAAATAGAATCAAATTTATAAAATTATAAGTCTGAAATCATTTTGAGTCAATCGAAAAAATCGATTTTTAGAGTGAGTTTCACTCGACTCTGTTTTCACATGCACCTAAAAGCTACTAACCTGCACCTAAAAGATAGTAACCTAATATATATATATATATATATATATATATATATATATATATATATATATGAAAGAGGAAAAGAAACTAAAGTGAATGTTAGATCTCTATTCTATTTGGTGATGAAAAATGTTAAAAGTTAATCTTTGTTGTATTGATTAATTAAGCCATTGTTCAATCAGAAAATTAATTCTAGGAAATCTAATAAGTTGAGTATAAATGTTTATACATAAAAAACCAATCAATGAAGTACATAAAGAAGCAATATTCTACACAAAACAAATCCTAACAACACCCTCTCCACTGGACGTTAGCCCAACCTATGGCCGACTCGTTGAATACTTTAACCTAAAGGAAGAGGAGTAGAATGTACAATCTCAATAGTATCTATTACGTTCGTTCCATGGATCTCACGTATATCAATTCCTCATTTTGCAAAATTTCTGGCCACTGAAAACACCCAACAAAAACAAGAAATTAGAAAGACAAGTTGATGATGTTACCCAACAGGACATGACTGAAAGATAAGTCTTACCTTTGGAGGCTAATGGGACAACTACAACATGCATATCGGCGTTGTTGGGGGGAAGCTGCAATCGGAGAGGAAAAAGGGTTCCGTTCAAAGGACTGCGAGTACAAACCACAATATCTTCAAGCCCTGTCTCTTCCATTATTTTATGAGTCAGTTCAGCCACATCGTTCCCTTTAAAACTCAGACAGTAACCCTCCACCGCCTCATCGTCGACCTCCCCATTGTCATCCGCTATATGGTAGTATATCGTCCTGCCTTCCGTTTTCGGTGGGGAACCCACATAAGAATCACTGGACTGCAAATTTTAAAACAATAATGAGAAATCAAGAAGAGAATCAATATCCCACAATGCAAAAAGATTTAAAATCTTCAAACCTCTTGTCTTGAATAGTGTCCGGATTGGGCCGAAACTGCAGAAGGCGAAGTAGATTCGAAGTTCAACGAATCAGCGTGCGGAGGAGCCGAGGGCTGGTGACCGCTGCTCGGAGACTTGATTTGAATCTCAATGATATCCACATCCACAAAAACCCAATCTTGAGTGGCGGTCCGATGAGGAATATCGTGGGTGACCGAGTTCCTCCAAAGCGGTAACCCTCCATTGGCTCTCAAGAAGTTACCGTACCGAGTCTTGAGCTTAACCTTATTCCCTTCTCTAATGGGTTCCCACTCGACCGATGAGTCGAGCCTCCTAGGCAGAGACTGAATCACCTTTCGACCCGTCATCCCGAGTAAAAAGGGTTGGTTCGAGGCGGTGAGGTACTTGTTGTAAAGGCTTTTTAAGCGGATGATGTTTTCTAATCCGGGTACGAACTCGACGGTCCATCGGGAGTTCTTGGATGAGCCGCTCCGGTCTTGAGAAACGGACTCTTCGTCTTCCTCGGCAACGAGGTACTTGTCGTGGTGACTGCGCAGACGCACCGCTTTGGCGTTGAGGAACAAATCCATCCCCCTCCGATATTTGTTAGAATTCGTCTGTTTAAAAATAAAAAAATGGAACAAGAAGGAAGTGAGCTATGAACAAAGACCAAGCAAAGCTTCGTTTAATCCCACTTGGTCTTGCCTCTATTTATTTCGTTTTAAAGCGAATTGCACACGCGGCAATTACGTGGCAAAAATTTCTGACGCTGTAGTCTTTTCCGTGTGGACTAAGTTACGTGTGAGCTTTGTACAAGGTGAAGAATACTCATTAGTTTATTTGATAACCATTGTGAAAAAGACAACTGAAATGAACTGTAATATGAAACTTATGATGTTCATTGAAATTTAAGTATATAAATTAGATTCTGTTTATTTTGAGTATTTAAATTTTAATAAAAATAAATTTGTAACGTTTTTTATATTATTATTTGAAGTATTTGATTATTGACCGTTGTTAAAAGTTATTATTAATAGATATAACATAAATTCAATTTTTCTTTAATTGTATTTTTTAAAATCCTAAAATTATTAATATTTTTAAAAACCTAAAATATTCAAAATTTCTAACCTAAAATCTTGAAATCTAATATTAATTATAAATTAATGTCATTTGTCAAACAATCATTAATCAAATTTTTTAATTGACCTTAATAAAAAACATGGTTGTCCCTTTTTCCCATATATATATATATATGGGGTAAGGGGGAGGTAAGATAGTAGGCTACCCCCAACACCAGGTTGAGATCAGCTTCCGTAAGAGACCTCCGAATTATGAAATACCCTCCGTGGGACTCAATCCCACGACCTCAAGGTTAAGAACCTTGTGCTCTACCAACTAAGCTGGATGGTCATTTCAATGGTTGTCCCTTTTTCCCATATATATGGGGTAAGGGGGAGGTAAGATAGTAGGCTACCCCCAACACCAGGTTGAGAACAGCTTCCGTAAGAGACCTCCGAATTATGAAATGCCCTCCGTAGAACTCGATCCCACGACCTCAAGGTTAAGAACCTTGTGCTCTACCAACTGAGTTGGATGGTCATTTAAAAAAATAAAAAAAAAATATTAGTTACAGTATTTTTAAAAAAAGATAAATACCTAAAACAAACAATAAATATATTTTAAATGCTTATACTTTAATTAAGCCAAAAAAGTAATATCTTTGTCCTAACAACCGGGATAATGATTAAAATAATGTCTTAAAAAAAACTTTTCTCAAAATAGTCTATCTCAGTTATTATTTAGTAATTGCTACAATACATTTAGAAGACTCTAAAATTACTATATGTTTTAACAGACTCCAAGATTGCATGAAATTTTCAATTGAAGATTTCAAGATTACTATGAGTCTTTCCTTAATAATGCAGAAATAACTCTATATCGAAAAATAATATAGTAAAAAGCCTCGTACGATAAATTATTTTTTTACAATGCTCTACATGAACAAGGAAGCCGTGCTAAACCCTTTAGATACCATTAAAGCAATCATTCATTTGGTCCTCATTAAAATGCTGAATCCCCGTTATGCAAAACTCTTCAAACCTTGTCATCGTTACTAACATTGATTTCACACGCCAAAAAGAAGAAAAAAAGTCATACTCTTCAAATTATGGAGTAATAAACTAATTCCTTTTAATATTGATTAGATTTAATTAATAAGAGAATTTTCAAATCAATAAATTAATTATGTAAAAAGGTTTTTCAGAGCACAGTACGTACCTGTTTGGGTGACAACTTTGATGACCCCGTCGAAATCATCGAAAACCTCGGAGAATTAAACGACGAAACGACCGAGGTCGGCGACTGTGGCACTGACCCCAAAATATCATCGCTCAAAGCGTCCAAAACTTCATCGGACACCGAAGGAAAGCTAGAGACCGACGATATATATTCCATTACCGACTCCGACTCGGGCACCTGAACCACCTCCACGTCCCATAACACCCATCTCCGCGTCGCTCCGGCATGAGGATCGTCGTGAGTGATCGAGTTTCTCCACGGCGGCGTCCCTCCATTCGCCCGCAGAAATTTACCGCACCACGTCTTGAACTTTATCTGAAAGCCGTCTCTTATCGGCTCCCACTGGAGTTTCCAGTCCATCTTATCGGGTGCCGTTTGCAGTACCTTGTTACCCGTCATTCCCAAAAGAAAGGGCATATCGGTGGCCGTCAAGTACTTCCCGTGGCAGCTCATCAGGCGGATAACGTTTGGTTTATCGTGAACGAACTCCACAAACCATCTAGCTCTTCTTCCGGAACTGTTCCGGCTTTGACGTACGGTTTCTTGGTCGTCGTCGGCGACTAGATATTTCCCGAGGTGACTCCTCAGTTTCACAGACTTGGCTTTTGTAAAAATCTCCATGTATGAACAACGCCAAGAAAATGGTTTACGAAAGTATTATAGGGAAAATATAAAATAAGCAGACATGCAGTAATTTTGTTTTTCTAGAATGGAATTGGAAATTGATTATTCTAGATTTTGTGAGTATAATAATTGACTGGGAAAAGTTTGTTTTGTTTGATGTTTCTTGTAAAGATTAAATTTGTTGGAACTTTATTTAAATTTCTTAGTAAGCAAGATTGTGAAGGGTGCAGCGAATAAGGAAGAAGGTGAAGGGGAAATTATCCAAGGAAGGAAGAAAAGTCTAAAGTTTGGATTGACGATTAAACATAAGTTTCCAGGTGCCGGCCCTCGTTTATTAAAGTCAATATCCCACGCGCTCAATGGGCGTGACTCAGTGTAAGCCACGTGCTTCTGATTCATTTGTGCGCGAATAGGCAAGTACTTGTGGAGAATGACGCGTGGGATTTGTTATTAATGAGGAAGGTTTTACCGGTTCCCTGCTTGTAGGTGTAAAAAAATGACCAGACTTTTATTGAAACCGATTTGGTTAAAACTGTTTTTGACATGCACTGTAGCGATCCGAAATTGACTCGAGTTGAAATTGGTGTTGATCTGAACCCAAGTTAGACCTGAATCCGAGTTAGACCTAAAAATTATGGATTTGAACCCGACATGCATTCGACCTGAGAACAACCTGAACCCGAATTGAATCAAAAATATGATACCCGAACCCGAACTACATCCGACTAATATGAATCCGAACTCGAGATTGACCTAATAAATAACTGGTATTACCCGACCTATTTTCAACCTGACATGTTATGAACATGACCTGTAATTAACTAAATCTGTAAATGATCTGACATATTGTTAAAGTGATCTGATATTATCCTGCCTTATAAGTAAAGTTACAATTAATATAATTATGTTATTTTAAATTTATAATAAATTTATAATAATTAAATTAATATAATTACTTTTTGAAATTTAGTTTTTATAAATAATTATAATTTGTATATTATAAATTTGGTTTTTATGTTAATTCCAATTCATAATATTCTTTATATTTATTATATTATAAATTTTATTTATAATCACTAAATTAAATTTAAATATTATCTTATTGAACTTGATTTTATTAAATTATATTAACTGAGTTAAAATATTCATAAATCTAATTTACTTTTAATGTGAAAATTAATTAATAATTTAAGTAAACTTAACTTGAAATTTTAAAATCAAAATATATTAGTTGAAATGATGGACTTATTAAAGATTAAAAACTTGAATAACATTACAAACACTAAAACAAAAATTTATAAATGAAGGTAATTTTATTACACTTGAAAACACTAAAATTACAATAAAATCAACTAAACAAAATAAATTTAAGTTGAAATAAATGCTCTCATATCTTATAGCTAATGTTTACAAGGCTAAAAAGCCTAACTATACTATCAAAAATATCATCATCGAGCTTTTATACCTAAATGTTGCCAACATGTTTAATTATGGACAACTTTCTAGCTTTAAAAGCCAAAATGCCACCAACATAATTCCACATGAGTAACTATTTAAATAAGAATTTATAAGGTTCAAAAATTGATTTAAGTCAGGCCAACAACAATAATTTACAAGGCATCAGTGAGTAATAGACAGTAGCAACCGACAAGCATCAATGTTCCAATTCAGCAAGCATCGTTGCATCGATTCAGCAAGCATCCTGCATTAAGAAAACATACAATCAGTGGTAAAACCAAAAGGAAATTTGATGGCAAAGAGTGCCAAACATTTCCGACTTTATCAAACCCTTACAAATATCAATTAGAAGTAAGCAATATAAAACATAAGCAAACAATATAAAACAGAATCAAGCACCAAGTATTGCATCTTGTAAGGCACCCTAAAAAAAGAATTATTAATGAATTATTTGAAACTTTTATTAAATAAACATAATAAATATAAAATATTAAGTTACCTTTGATGGGAATAAAAAGACATAATCTCCAATTCGAATGATTTCAGAGACCATTAAACACCCTAAAAATTACAAAGAAAAATTAAAATAATTAATAAACAATTTGAAATATTAATGGCATTAACATAAAAAAACAATTTGGATTACCTTTACAACGAAGACTAGTTAACCACAGAAAGGTATTCTTCGTCCTTATCCTCCGACTCAAAACCATACAACCAATTACGGGTTGTTACAAAAAGCTCAACATTTTAGGTAAGAGTTTAGCTCTTAATTTGTTCAAAATTCGACCTCCCATACTAAAGGACGATTCAGATGCAACCGTAGTAATTGGAATAGCCAATATATATCTCGCCATGCGAGAAAGTACCGGATATGAAACACTTTGATTTTTCCAATAATCCAAAATAACAAATTCAGTTTCTCTAGTATGAGGGACAAGAGGCAAACTGATGTAAGAATCAACATCAGATCGTCCACTCCTTGAAGCAGCTAAATTGGCATCAAAAGTCTAAAAAATAAAAGACAAAAATTACTAAATGAAAACAATAAATAAATAAGATAAAATTAAACTTAAAATTGTAATTACTAACCTGAAATAGATCTGATTTTCTAAAAGCTTGAGGCTGATTGTAACTTGACTCACTTCTGCCTAAGGATTTGTTACTTTGGACAGAAGAATAAGAGAAAGAACCAAAAGGTGCATTTTTTTAATAAAATACATAAAACTCAAGAAACTCATTATAAATGAGACTTACCCTCCTTTGAACCTCATCCTCAACATAAAGAACATTGTACAACTCTTTTAGAAGTTATAATTTATATCGAGGATCAAGTAAAATAGCAAAAGACAGAATCATTGAGTGATCAGACCAATATTTCTCAAATAGTTCAAGCATGAGTTTAGCCATTGCAGAAATACCTTCACAGGGATCATTATAAGCATCACACAATAATTTTTCAATTGCAACAACATTAGCCAAATACAAGTTAGAAGTGAGATACTTAGAACCATGAGATACTTAGAACCATAGAACAGAGTAGTAATTTCATAAAAAGGCTCAAAAAATCACAGATTGTTTGAACAATTTCCCACCCATGATCAGTAATGAAATCTAACTCATTTTCCCTATTAATAAACAAGTTAATTGCTAATCTAGCCTCAAGTGCCCTCTGAACCATCAAGTAAGTAGAATTCCATCGAGTCGGAAAATCCAATACTAACTTACTAGAGAAAGAAGTATCACACTCTTTAACAACTAATTCAAATGCACAAAGTCGAGAATCAGAAGAATCAATAAACTTAACAATCTTACGCAATTTACTAACAGAAGAATCAATTACCTTCAAACCTTTTTGAACTATCAAGTTCAAAATGTGGGCAACACATCTTACATGGAAGTACTTACCATTGCATGAAAGAGGAGAAATGACCTTTAAATCATCTTTCAGTCTCCTGACCATTTTATCATTTGTAGAAGTATTATCAAGTGTAATGGTAAATGTTTTTTCAAGACCCCACTCGCATATTATCTTTTTAACAAACTTAAATATTGACTCCCCATCATGAGGAGGATGAAAACGACGAAAATTAAGAATTTTAGGCTGAAGTTTCCAGTTATTATCAACATAATGAGCAGTAAGAGCAAAATAAGGATGTGAAGTGCAGCAGACCAACCATCACATATAAAAAAAACACGACTTGAAACAGTATGCATTGAATCAAGTAGCAATTTCTTATGCCTTTCATGCTCCAACATGCAATACTTAGTAGCAGTATACCTAGATATATCTTTAACAGAAGAATTAAGGTAATGATGTAAATCCCTAAGTTTTTCATGCTCAACAATACTATATGCATAACCATGACACATAATAGCCTCAGCAAACAATTCACAGTATTTGTTTTGATCAAAAGAAGCTACACTACTAGGATTATCAGCAAGAAAATCCTTATATGCTTGGCATTTCTCAGTATGCCTTTTAGGGTTAGATGTACCAATATAAGAATAAGCTTTATACCTTTTCATTTTGCAATACTTACACTCGGCATAAACAAAACCATCATCAGATTTGGTGAATGTGTAGTGGTCCCAAACAGGAGAGGTTCTTCTCCCAAAATCGGATGAACCAGTGGACTTTCTCTTAGAGGATTTATTTAAATCAATTATTTCGGACAGTATATCATTTACATCCCCTTGCAAAAAAACCATGGTTAGTTTACATTAAATGCTTCTGAAAGTATATCATTTACATCAACAGCAATAAAAAAACCAGGGTTAGTTTACGTGAAATGCTTCTGACAGTATATCATTTACATCAACAGCAATAAAAAACCAGGGTTAGTTTACATTATGCTTCTGACAGTATATCATTTACATCAACAACAATAAACCAGTATGTATATATATATATATCAAGCATATACAAAGAAAAGAATGGGCAGTTTACCTATTTCAGAATGATCATCATTATGATATGTTGGGTTTACACCTACAAAACAAATAAAAAATATATTAATTCGAATATTAAAATAAAAAAAATGAAAAAAGGAATGAGAAATACCTGAGTAATTCAACTCGTACGACAAACTATCCATGAAACCGTATGAAAAATAAAGGTTTCGAATAGTTTGGGTTCAGGTTCGGGTTTGATTTGGGTTTAGGTTTGGGATCGGGTTTGGTTTAGGTTTAGGGTTAGGGTTAAGGGTTAAGGGTTAGAAAAGATAAACAGTTTGGGTTTTGGTGTTTGATAAAAAAATCAAGTTGGTTTTAAGTTTTGGGTGTTTGTAAGGATTTGGGGAAGAACACATATGAAAAATGGATGAATTTGTGGGTGTTTGATCGAAAAAAACACGAAATGGTTTGGGTTTTGGTGTTTTTGAAGATCAAATAAAGGTTTTGGGGAAGAACTGGGATGAACAAATGAAGAACATGGATGAATATTTGGGTGTTTGATCGAAAAAACACGAAATTGTTTGGGTTTTTGTGTTTTTGAAGATCAAATGATGGTTTGAGGATGAACTGGGATGAACAAATGAAGAACACAGATAAAT